TTAAAACTTTTCAAACCATTCATGTATATAATTGTAAGAATATATACTATAATTAAATATAATTGTAAGAATATATGCTCAATAAAAGTTATTATATGCGACTACTTTAGTTGGCTGTTTACCTAATTTGTTATATTTATCTTGTATTTTTTTCTTATTATTTTTATCACTGGTAATAAATCTTCTTCTTCTCAATTCTGTGGGCTTTTGGGGGAAACTAACACATAATAATAAACAAAATAAAGGCGAGTGGCTCTATAATATCATATCTTATTATACAAATGGTTGTGAAACCCAAGGATTTAAAACAGTCACGTCGTGTTGTGAAACATTTTTTTTCAAAATTCAAAGAAGTGATCTTAACTTTTTAACTGAGAAAATCGAAGAAAAAGTTTATGCAAATCATCCATTATTCATTATTTAAACATCCATTTCTTTTTAATTTATTAATTTATACCGGATAGCTTTACGAGTCTATCAGTTCTAAATTGTTTTCCCATTTATTGTCATTTCCAAAGCATAACTCATTCGAATATTAAAAACTAAAAAGCAATGTCAACAGTCATGTCAATATATTATGTAAATCAACCAGAGTCACTAGTTTGATCGGGAGGTGAATAGTGTCTCTAAAAACAGTACATGTGCAGACAACCGGCATGAAACTTTAGACAGCAGAAAATTTCTTGCACAATCAAACTCATGTCACAGAAGTAGTAAAGGACATATGTGACAACTGAATGGTATCCTTTTATAACGTTTTTGACCGCGGGGTGGGTATCTATTCAGTTAATTGATCTTTGATGTTCGGCAAAAAAGTGTAATGCTTGGAACAGCAAAATTTTTACCAAGAAAAACATTTCTCTTCGGTGTCACCCCCAGCCATAACATTAGCACGACTGGCCTGCGAACAGGCTCTCAAGCTGAATTGAGAGCCTGCATCGATGACTAATGAATTTGAATATCTGCGTCTCAAATCGTGACGCGAAATTCTCATTGGTCAGATGCTATAATTTATATGTTTCCGCTGAGCTCTATATATGTCAACTGCTGAAGCACTATGCATAAAAAACACATTAACTGATCAAATTGGTCTTGACCATCTTATCTCAAAGCACGAAATGTTCTGTTTTGAGAAAACAGTATTTAAAACATTTCAACTTTTGCTTCAATATCTTATATTTCGAAAAACAGTATAAACTGTACGGTCTAAATTTAGTTTGCACGGTCTAAATTTAGTTTGCACGAAAGTTGTCAACAACACCATATAAGGATATACATTCCATATTTGTAAAAACGAACGTTACGGGGCAGATATTCAAATTCATTAGTCATCGATGCAGGCTCTCAATTCAGCTTGAGAGCCTGTTCGCAGGCTATAGCACGACCGGTCTCTTATACAGTCGAACCTCTATTAAGCGGCCACCCTCGGGGATCGGCTTTGTGGCCGCTTAATAGAGGTGGCCGCTAAATAGAGGTCCGCAAATAATAGACCCTGGGTGTAGTCAAATGTCTATTTTTAATTATAAATCACAGAATACAATAGTGATTTTATCTTTAATTCTCAGTTTCATCAATTCATCTACTATAACATTTTTTCACAGGCATACATTGTGCGAACAACACGAGGCCATCACACTATCATATTTCACACTAAACCTTTTGATCAAACATTTAGGGACTATTGTGGCATAAATTTATTACTAGGACACCAATATGGTTCTCATTACCTATATCTAAACCTAAAAATCCTGCAGGCTGGCCGCTTAACAGAGGTAAAAATTGACATAAAACATCATTTGGGACCGCTCTTTGGGTGGCCGCGGCCGCTTAATAGAGGTGGCCGTTTAATAGAGGAGGGATAGTTTATATATTTTTTTTTATTATTTCTATTACAAAAATTTCGGGACTTCGATATGTGGCCGTTTAATAGAGGGTAGCCGCTTAATGGAGGGCCGCTTAATAGAGGTTCGACTGTATTACATTTACATAAATTCCAAACTAATGCATATTTAAAGTGTCTAGTCTATTTTTTGTTCACTTTTCTCAGAAAATTCGATAGGATATATAGTTATCTGATGGGACAGCATCACTCTCCTCCGCAGAGCCTTACAAATTTTTAGTAAAATTACGTAATATTACTTGGGAAACAAATTACGTAATTGTTAGTCAAAACGCGCTAGGTATATTCATTTTGTCAACCATCGGTCTCACCCCCTCCCCCCCCCCGTCGAGCACCACTAAATGTCCTCTACTATCCCTACATTATCCCTACAATCCTATATAATTGACTCTGCGGAGGAGAGTGGGACAGCATTGCAACAGTTACATCAAAATCATAGGCGCCGACAAGAAGTCGGACTCTGCATGTCGTCACTATTGCTAGTAGTATAGGCCTTCGCTCGAAACTTGTATTTTTCAGGTTGCCGGTATCTCTCTCAATATAAAATCGGTTCTATATATCTAAAACAGGTGTAAATAGCCAAAATTTTAAATTATTAGCACTTTATATATAATTGGTACAGGAAATTACACGGTTCGAGAAGTATTGAATGTAAAATCGCACGCGCAATGGCGTAATATTTATAATAGTATAATATAGGAATATTTATCAATAGTATTACGAATATTTCGACAAAAACAAGTGTGATTTTCATTAATACTTCGAGAATAAGTGTCATTTCCTTTTAATATATCATTTTAGCAAACCATTAATTAGCAAGTCAACAAAGACAGTATGAAATATATTCATATATAGACAGTATTAAGGCATGACTCTGTGTGTCGTTTCAACATGGTTTTTGAATGCAAATACGGTTTTTGAATGCAAATATTTTCAGAACAAAACGATAAAACGCTTATCCCATTCCCATAGAAATTAGAAGGCTTTATCTATGCATGATTAGTTTCGTGTTGAAATTTTTCGTGTTTTCCAAAGAAGTTGACGACAGAGCGTGCATGTAAACAAATGCTTTGATTGGCCGAAAGGAATTTCCCGGATGCATGAAATAAAAAATTGTAACTGATCGGCAAAGCTATGTGATTTTCCCCTAAATCTCCCTAGTAAAAAAATAAAATAAAATTTTGCATCGAATAAAATTGCCTAAAATGGTAAAATGATATTGTTAAGAGCATATATATTCTGCAGGTTTAATAAAGTGTTAAATTATATTCAATTTACTTAATAGATATTGGAAATAGAGGTTGCCTAAATGGAAAATAGATATTGCTTTTTATGTTAATATTAGGTAGATAGCTTCCCGAATTTATCAAGCGCATCAGTTTTCCCTGTGGAGTTCATGATGCATGCATCCAACAGGCAAAATATGGCGGTTATGAAAATATTTCACATAAATGAACATTTAACTGAACTCTTTCTGTTAAAACTGCTCTTATTTTGGAGTTTGTCATGGTTTCGTATTTCCCACGCTGAAAACACTTGCGAGCATGGACTGTTCAAACAAGTTAAAGGTAAGAATGATAGCACGATCTTTTTTAATCGGAATGCAATCACCGGCATATACCCGCTGGTAAAAAGGGTAAAAGCGTCCTAGGTGTAAAGAAATCCGAGCAGAAATATTTTTCCTATAGCCATGTCTCCAGGGTGAGTAGGGTTATGGTAGTAAGTCCTATACCATTGAACTATCACAAAGACCGCTAAACAGTGACTTGGACATTTGACTTGGATTTGAGGGGGGCAGCCATTCAAAAAGGGCACATGCTTCTGAGCCTTAATTTTTGTGGGTAGCAATGTTCGTTGACATTTTTCTGTATCGATACTCGATTACTTGTAGCCAATATATAGTTGGACAAATTTCTGTATTGATCGTTGCATGACGCTAAAGACTAAAATGCATTGTATATTTGAAACAACATGACAGCTTGCCAATTTTTTAGGAAGGCGCTTTTTTACGTTTTTCTTCATATACGGTAGTTGGTAGACTTGCCCAAGTCGCTCGCTAGGGACCGCGCGTAGCAAGAAGGGAGCGCTTGAGAAAGACGGAAGCGAGCGACTTGTGTCACTTGCCTGATTTTGAGTCTTACTGAAAAATTGGCGCGAAAATCAATTATGACATAGTGGGCGTTCACCATGTCGATTTCACTAGTTCATTATTGTTTTGTTCATAATAATAATGAGCATTCACTGACGTCACCGGAGCAAAAATGCACCGGTGTATTTGGCGCGCTTGCTGGTGACAAAAGTCCGTCGCTTCCAGGAACCACGAACCACGGACTTTGGAAAGTCTAGGTAGTTGGTTGGTAACGTTTCTGTGGAGGAATTTCAGATTCAAATTTGAAATAAATTGTTTAAAAACAGTTCACAATTTCAACTCACATGAATAACGCACGACTTTCGAAGTGTAGTTCTTGCAAAAAAGGCAGTTAACATGCTGCCCCCGTGCTGTCCCCGTGCAACTCTCACACTGTTTGGGCAACGGGGTACACACGTAAAAACGCACAAGTTGTCGCAAGTCTGCAAACAAGTTGTTACAATTTTGTTCACAAGATGTCGACAAGTTGTGTTCGCACTGCTTGTTCCCAGTTGTGGTAACAAGTTTGGAACAAGCTGTTAACAACTTGTAACAAGCTAGATGGCATTATCAGGCTTGTTACAAGATTGTTCTAACAAGTCTGATACAGTCATGATATCACAAGAATGTTACAAGGTTGACGACACAAGGTTGTAACAATATTGTTATATCATGACTGTATTGGACTTGTTGGGACAACCTTGCAACAAGTCTGATGTCATCAAGCTTGTTACAAGTTGTTAACAGCTTGTTCCAAACTTGTTGACAACTTGGGACAAGCAGTGCGAACACAACTTGTTGACGGCTTGTTAGCAGACTTGCTACAAGATCTGACATTTTTACGTGTGTAGCTGCCCCCATGGGCAGCATTTGTAGAAAAATTAATTTTCTACAGTACAAACAAAAAAAAGAACTTGACTAATATCTCACAGTCCGGATCCCTCGCTCAGTCAATAACATATATATATTTAGGCGAGTATTTTACAACCTCATCCATATCAAGTCACCACACCAGTTCTGTGTCCGAATGTGGTCAGCGGTGTGTACGTGTCGAGACATGCGTCGGATTTAAATACCACTCAACCAATAACCAGGAGCTTGGCATAAACTGTGAAATTTTGAAGAAAATTGAAACCTGTTCGCAACCGGAAAATGAAATCAACGAAATATCGTGGAGAATATACATGCCAATTGCAGCTAAAAAGGTAGGCTAATTAACGTCGACTACAATTTACATTTGGAAACTGAATGCTATGATTGTAAAACATAAGACCCCCATCCTCCCCCCCCCCCCC